ATGTCATATATTTTTTGAAACACCCTGTATAACAGATAAACATTTTAAATTCAATGTTTATCTTTTATACATGTCTATGAAATCATATATTTATGATAAATTACATTTTATATTTTTGTTAACTGGTGTCAGTGTTATTGTGGACAGACAATATTCAGAGTTAACAACAACATAAACTGCCCGTTAATATTTTTTCGTCATACTATATTGTTATATTATTATAACATAAGCAAAATCAGAATGGAAAAGATGCATATAACGTCCGCCGGACGTTATCATAACGGCCGGCGGCCGTTAAGTTTCTAAGGTAATCGTAACGTCTGTCACCTGCAACAATGACTATTTATTGTCAGTTGGACTTTTCAAAAATTGGGAAAATAGACCATAGCGAGATGTCGCGAGAAATTCCGTTGGAAATACAGGAGGAAGCGGCTGCGGCTACTCAAAATTTACTTCCGACTATAACCAGAGAGAGATATCAGCAGGAATATGACAATTTTTTGAAGTGGCGGCAGGATAGAAGTATAAACAGCGTAAATGAAGCGGTATTGCTGGCTTATGCTAAAAGAATGTCTGAAATGTATTCTCCTACATCACTGTGGACAAAGATATCCATGCTGAAGCTTGCGTTGAGAGTATATGAAAACATCGACATATCAAGGTAAAAAAGCCATTATATTCTTCGATATTTAATCATACTCATCTAAATTATATTTGTTCATAGATTTGGTAAACTGTTCATGTTTCTGAGGCGCAAAAACGAAGGTTATTCACCAAAAAAGCCAAAGTTCTGTCGGAGAATGACATAAATAATTTTCTACTGGATGCCGATGATTACACCTGGTTACTCGAAAAATTGTATTGGTGCTTGGTATTCTTGGAGCTTGTAGGCGCAGCGAGCTTTGGTCACTCACAGTTGATGATTTCGAAGATTCGGAGAAAAATATTCTTGTCTCATTAAGAAATACTAAAAATAAGAAAGATAGGAAATTTCTTATTCCAAAAACGGGCCTTCCGTTTGATGCCTATGGTTTATACAAAAAATACATCAACCTGCGTCCTCGTAACTTTGACAATCCAAAATTTTTCATTGGTTACAAGAAAGGCAAGTGTGTTAAGCAAATCGTCGGTATACATACCATCGGGAGCGTACCGCAGAAAATTGCAAAATTTTTGAACTTGGAGAATCCAGAACGTTATACAGGGCATTCATTTCGTAGATCATCAGCAACCATGCTCGCCGAAAATGGTGGTGATTTACTATCGCTAAAGGAGCTAGGAGGATGGGAGTCTTCAACAGTGGCAGAAACTTACATAGAAAAAATCAGTTTCCAAAAGAATGAAAATAACAAATCAACTTTTTCATGATAGCTCCAAAAATAATGTGTCTTTAGTGGATACAAATATTTGCCATTCTTCAGTAGCATCATCTTCTTCTATAAAATCTGTAAATCTCTGGGAAGGATTACAGATTTCTAAGAACAACAAGTGCACTTTTAATTTCCATGTTCATTATCATGAAAAATGAATTTTAGTATAAGACATTATGTATTTTTATCCTTACTTGTGTTATTGTTCAATAAAATTTGTTATTAAATAGTAGTGTTTATTGCTCTAAAAAATCTGCAGTATGACGAAAAATCTAGAACGCAACACGGCCGATAACAAATAACGGCCTTGGCTGCTTATGATCCTCGGCTATCGCCTCGGATCACAAACTTCAGCCCGGCCGTTATTTGTTGTTTATCGGCCTTATTACGTTAATAACTATATCAGTTCGTGTAAATTAGACAAACCAAATTACCGGTCTCGGCAACAAAACTAATTGTTAAATCAATACGAGTGTAATAACCGTTTATTTTATATATGTATATGGTTACACAATTACTATTTAGTAGCGTAATCTGCCACCAGACGGCATACCTATTCGACACACAAATCATTACTTACTATCTGTGGCTTCGTTTCGAAATCATTAACACGAATTAAGAAATAATAGTGTGTGATACAGGCATTATACAGGGTCCGGTAATAGTGGATAGGGCATCTGTAGCCCCTGGAATAAAAAAAAACTTTCGAATTATGTTTAACTGCAAATCTATAGTACATATGCACTAGCCTGTATTTCCGGAAAATATTTTAACTTCTCCAAGATGGTTCAAAAAAGTGTGAGTGGACTGGGATGATTTTTTTAATTAGAAAACCCCGTATGTTATGGCATTTTTGGCTTCTTTTCAGATTACTTTACAAAATCCTAAGTTATGAGTAGGTAAATATACGTCGACTTGGAGTCTTCGATACAGCAATCAAAGATCGAAATTCACAAGGTAGAACAGTTATATCCATAATGAACGGAATTCTATGGGACCAAAATATATCTAAGTCAAATAAAAGACTAATTTTTTATTAAGTTATATACAGGGTGTCCCACTTAAGATGGATACAAGCCAATATCTTTTTAGGATATTTGTTCAGCGATCTTTTTCATTTTTGGCTGTATGGCTATAAAACGTACATTTTGCGCAGGGTAAGAAATGCGATGATACCTTATAGACGTACGTTTTAATGGGGTTTGATATTTTTCGAGTCAAGAGTAAACTACCCTTAGGACAGTATTCATTTCAAATCTGATAAATTATATTGAATCCTCCTTACCTAAGATACTTAAGTTCTAATTTTTATAAATATTGATACAGGGTGTGTCATTAAAATAAGACATTTTATTTTTATTATTATTTTTTTAAGTATTTACGACGCCACTGGATAAACAACTGGTTTATTATCAATAACCAATTATAACCAATTGTCAATTAATAATCGATTTAAGTTTTGAGATAGCTTCTATAATAATTAAGATACGATACAAAAAAAACTAAATACTTTCAATTTATTTTGTTTACTTTAAATTTTTTTTTTAAGTTTGCTAATACAAATGAATAAAATGAGTTAAATAATTTAAAAACCCAGTTTTCAATGGAATCTGAAATATGATTTTTATTCGTTTTATTGAGGAATATTTTAAAAAATCCAAATAGTTAGATATTTAAAACAATCACTATTAACTTTGAAAAATATGCTCTAAACAAAGTTTTTTATATCAAATCCCATTAAAACGTACGTCTATGAGGTATCGCATTTCTTACCCTGCGCAAAATGTACGTCTTATAGCCATACAGCCTCCTGCCAAAAACGAAAAATATCGTTCAACACACAACCCAGATATTGGCTTGTATACATATTAAGTGGGACACACTGTATAGTAGCGAAGTATGGCCTATAAAACACATTACCGAAAAAATGATGTTAACAACAGAAATGGGTTTCTGGAGAAGAGCCGCTGGAAAATCAAAAAGAGATATGGTAAAGAATGAAAGAATACGGGAAATAATTGGAGCTAAACCTACGATTGTTGATGATGTCAAAACCAAAGAGTTGAGGCGGTACGGGCATGTACAAAGGATGTAAAACGACAGGCTTAACAACTGCTGAAATGGATGCCCCAAGGTAGAAGAAGAAGAGGAAGACCAAGAACAAGCTGAAGAGAAAGAATAAGGAAGGAAATGGGCCAAAGACAGCTTGATGATAACATGTGGCAAGATAGAGAAGAGTAGCGGTTAGGAATGGGAAAACGTCGTAAAACGTTGTAAACCGAATGTATACCGGGTGCGTCTCAAAAGTGGCTCATCCCTATAACTTTTTTATTTTCTTCAGATAAAAAAACGAGATTTAGTATGTTAGTATATGACATAAATTGGGATTGACTGACGTATTCAGTTTTTCCTATTTCACCGGAAATGACTACAACTTTTGATTTTTAAATGCCACCCCAGTATATTTTTACTTTATTTGATAGAAAATGACATTCTGAATAGAATAACATATAATATGTCAACTTTTGACATTTTCGCTTAGAAAAATCGTATTTTAAATTTCAATCTGGAGTGCCATGGCTGTGTTAAAAACACGAATTTTTGATCAAGGAGCCTTGGAAAATAGATTTGATCGTCAATGTTTTTCGTGTCTTGTCCTTGCCGGTTAAAAGATGCCCAAGTCGTATTTTTAATCATATCTCAATTTTTTCAAATGGGACAACGGTGGCTTATTAGCATATTTGGAAAAAGCATTTTTTTACGAATAATTTGGTACCAGACACTTGGTATTTCGAGTCAAATTGTCGTTATGAACTGCATGTTACAATTTCAAATAAACCATATGCAAAAATATCTAAAGTTGACATATGATATGTCATTCTATTCAGAGTGTCATTTTTTATCAAATAAAGTAAAAAATACCGATGGTGTCATTTAAAAATCAAAAGTTAATCAGGAAGAATTGAATACGCCAATCGATTCTTATTTATGTCATATACTAACATACCAAATCTCGTTTTTTTATCAAAAAAAAAATAAAAAAGTTATAGGAGCGGGCCATTTTTGAGACGCACCCGGTATATATAAATATATTTCAATAATTTCAGAGATATACTAATACAGGGTGTCCCAGAAATAAGTGCAAGTATTTTAAGGGGTGGTCAAAATCTGGTCAAAAGAAACATTTTTTCTCTTTACCGTTTTTCAAATATGTAAGTCCAAAATAACCCAGTTATTTTAATTTGAAACTTTTCAAAAAAAAATATTTTTTCCTAAAATTTTGAGAACCAATGGATCTTTTCTGGATTTGCTTTCATGTAAATTTAAGCTACTACCTATGTTGCCATATTATCAAGAAATTAAGTTTTTAACTTAAAACTAAATAATTTCCAAAATTTAAAAAAAAATCCAAATTTTCAAAAAAAAAATTTCGCGCAAAATACCTCACCGGCGTGTTTCTGAGGCCCCAATATCCAACCAGTTAAAATACTTGCACTTATTTCTGGGACACCCTGTAAAATAAATAAAAAAATATCAAAAAACCCCCTTTCCAAAAAGGCCATGTGGCAACCCTACATCTACCCTCCATAGGATAGCATTATACTATTTCCTTAACATAACCTTACTTACTTTTTCCGCCACAACACCGCCATCTTTCCGACGTACTTTCCACTACTTCTACCACCACAACAACCGAAAACAACGCCACTAAAACGTTCCAGCGGCGCGATGAACAAACCCGACGAAACTGTCGCTATCACAGACAGCTGCGACGCTGTCGTGAATCAAGTAGGCGCTGACGGACCAACGTCAACCGCATCTGACGTTGATGATAAGACGAACGACGCCGCGCGTCGCCTACTGAGATAGTGGAGGGGGCGCGTTATCAGGAGCTGCTGCGCGTAGTATTGTCTGCGCACATGGCTCCTAAAGGTTGCGACGTGAGGGGGGGTCCCTGATGTGCTGGAGGATGAGATTGGTGACGGGGCATCTATTTGGCTAGATCTGGAACAAAACAGAAACAAGATAAGATTAGTGGGTTTTGATTTGTTTTTGGTGTGAGTGTTTTTTTTCGGAAATTTATTGTGGCTGATAAGGAAGGTGTATATTGATTTTATGATGTTGGAATGATAAGATTATCTAAAAAGAAACTTTCAATAATACACAGTGGGTTTTAAATAAAAGCACATCATTTATGAGAAAGTTTCATAAATCTATTAGAATACACCAAAATATATGTATAAGTTACAGACAATATTGTATACAAAGTGTTAAATAAATAAATAAATAAATGCCTTTATTGTCAAAAATTTTTTCAATTTGTAGACAAAGGTAAACTAACAAACAAAGTAAAAAAACAAAGTACACAAACAAACAAAAGATAATACAAAACATTATATATGTATAATAATGTCAGTCTTATTGTTAAAATAAACATTTAAAAAACAAGGTACACAAACAAACAAAAGATACTACAAAACATTATATATGTATAATGTCAGTCTTATTGTTAAAATAGACATTTATGTTTACAATGTCAAAGAACAAAAAAATAAAATAAAAATAATATTCAAAAATATTTAGCTAGTTTATAGTAAAATATCAATGACCTCTAAATAAATTCATTTCGATGTCATTAGTAAATATAGCAATAGCAAACATTAGACCGGTGTTTACAAGATCAAATTCGATTTTCAAAATATAATTCATTTACGGCGTAGAAAGCCTTGTCTAGTAAATAAGAGTTCAATGCTTTGCGAAATGAAAAAAATGATGTTATGGATTTGATTTCAAATGGCAGGTGATTGTGCATTTTTTTCGAGTTGTATAATATTGAACTTTTTACTAACTCTGAGCGAGGGGTAGGTAGATAAAGATCTTGCTCCGCGTTCCTGAGGGGATAAGTGTGAGATGTCCTTTCTCTTGAGAAGCTGATACATGTTTACGTATTAGGCAAACGGATTCAAATATAAATAAGGAAGGAAGAGTCAATATTTTTAATTCTTTAAAAAAGTCCCGGCAATGAGTTCTGCTGTTTAGTCCCTGTGAATATCGAACAGCTCTCTTCTGGAGCTTGAAAATGCGCTCAAATTGAGTCGCATAAGACGTACCCCAGAATGGAAGGGCATATCTGAGGTGCTGACTGAGGTCACAACCAAACCAAACCACTGACAAGTTAAGCTCCTTAGAAACAGACCTTAATGCAAAACAAGCAGAGCTCAATTTTTTCGACAAAGCTTCGATATGTATGTCCCATATCAGAGAATTGTCCACAACAAGCCCTATAAATTTTACAGATTTTACGACGTCAATGGTGGTGTTGTTAAGTACAAAAGGCTGCAAAGGCTGCAACGATTTTATATGTGTTATGCCGACGACGACGCTGTTCTAGTCGCAGAAAAGGAGGACGACCTCTCCAAAGACTAGTATATCGCTTCAACCTTGTAGAAAAATCTCTAAATATTATAATATCTGCCTCCAAAACAAAGAACCTGACAATATCAAAAATACCTATCAGATGCAAGATTGTTGTGGATAATAAAATAATATAACAAAAAATGAAATTTAAATATCTTGGTATAGAGCTATCCGGTTATGGCGATATTGCAACAGAGGTAAGACAACAAACAACAAAAGCAATGAGAGTGGCTGGATGTCTCAACGACACCATATGGAAAAATAATCACATAGGTGTCGAGGTCAGACAAGTAAGAATATACAAGGCTGTCGACAGACCCATAATGACCTACACAGTAGAAACCAGACCGGACACAGCAAAAACAAAAAGGTTCTTGGAAACAGGCGAAATTAAAATCTTCCATAAAACACCAGGTAGAATGCTACTAGATAGAGAACGAAGCGAGAACATAAGGCAAACATGCATGGTGGAGAACATTAATGAATGGGTATTAAACAGAAAGCGCGAATGGAACGACCACATCAACCGAATGGACGAAGGAAGAATAGTAAGCACAGCTCGAGACAAATCACCACCAATCGGTCTTAAATGTCTATTATGCGCTTTTTCATAGCTATATCTCCTATGGTACTGTGGGGCAACCCATGTAGCTCTAGGCAATCATCTAGCTCCGCACAAATATTTAAATTGCAGAAGAAGGCAGTGCGAATCCTCGCAGGAGTGGGTTACCTTGATCACTGTAAACCACACTTTGTTAATTTGCAGATATTGACTCTGCCATCTTTATACATATTATGTCAATTGTTAGAAATTCACAAGAACAAAGATAGTCTCTTGTATAACTCTGATATACATCACCATGGCACAAGATCCGCTCATCTTATAAGAGAAAATAAATTTAGGCTCACCAAATCTTCAAAAAACTCATTAAATGTTGAATTGTATAATGTGATTCCTACCTCCGTCAAAAGTTATAATATTTATAAATTTAGGACAGTTTTGAAGAATTTTCTGATAGTCCATGGCGGAATATTTTAATATTATGAACTTAACCACCGACCTAACTTAAATATTGTATTCATTGTTTATACACTGTATTTGTATTTTACTTTGCATGTTGTTTTAATTTTTATTTTAGTTTGTATATATTTAACTGTTTTTATGACTACAGGCTACAATTGTATCTTGTTTGTACAAAATGTGGTCAAATAAAGCAATCTATCTATCTATCTATCTAATCACACCCTAAACTTTTTTAGACTACTTAGGAAACACCTTGTATAGAACATTTACGATAATACCCGACCAATAACGTAAGTACTCAATTTCATCGGAAACTAAGGTAAATGTTCAAAATGGTTTGTTATAAATGGAGAAAATATTCGGCCAATGTGTGCTACCAGAGATGACCTATGCATGCGAAACCTGGACACTTAAAACGGACATCATAAGGAAACTGCAGGTCGCACAACGCTCAATGGATCGAAATATGCTGGGAATAACCAAAAGAGACCGTAAAATAATAGAGTAGATTCGAAAAAAGACCCAGGTAATAGATATCATTCACAGAATCAAATCCCTCAAGTGGCAATGGGCTGGAAACCTGGCAAGAAGGACGAACAGATGGACAACAAAAGTACAGCATGGTACCCACGAGGAATTATTAATAGACCTAGAGGAAGACCAAAATTGAGATGGGACCATGATATTAGATTCTCGGGGATAACGTGGGCCCGGATACCCAACAAGAGACCACAATGAACCCAACTACAAATAGAGTATCTAAATATGTGAGGGAGGCTACACCATAATTGGAAATGGTCGAATGGAAATGTTGATGATGATGAAGCGGTGTAACTAAATCGACTTCATTTTATTTATTTAGATCAAGAATTCATTATTTCTTACTCCACGCTATTAATATAATGTTGCAGGCCGGTGTGGACTCGACCTAACCTCACAATATGGCCCGTCCTCGGATGACCTTAACATCGCATAGACACCGCAATGATTCATTCGTTCGAGAAGAATCGAGTCCCACTGGAATGGACGAGTACATACGAGAACATTCGAAAACCTTCTCTACGCACCTAACGATCTATGGACAATTCTAGAGTTCTTTACCTGCCGGTATAAAAGCCGGCGGCCGTGGCCTACAGGGGGCAGTTATAAATATACAGTTGACGCGCTAAAATTCAAAATAAATTCTTAGTTATAAATCGTTTGTAAATAGTTCTATAAGTCTTTTATCGTTATTATTTTTGTTAATTAGTGTTAAATAAATAGTGTTTAAATAAATTGTGACTTTCTATCCACACGGAACCGACGAAAAAACGTAACAATTGGTGTCAGGTGTGGGGTGTGTGATAGACTAGAAGAATAAAAAGACTGACCATGGCTCTGAAAAAATTGTTGAAAGACTTGAAAGTGTCCGAACTGAAATGCATATTGGAAGAGAGAGAGTGCGAGACAGATAGAAAAAAAAGCATTTTGCAAGCCAGACTGAGAGACGTTTTGGTAGAGGAAGGTGAGGATTCTGACACATTTTACTTCGAGCTGGAAGGTGACCTTGACTCGTCATTAAAAAATTTGCAAGACAATTTAAACGATAAAATGAATATTTTAGAAGATAAAATCAGTGATAAAATTATAAAAAATTCCCAGGATTTAATTAATTCTTTAGAAGATAAGATCGCGGAAAATTCTAAAGACATACAGGCCAACTTTAATAATAAAATACTTAATTTAGAAGAAAAGATAACAGAAATCCAGGAATCTTCCAGGGAATTAGAAGAAAAGATTATAGATAATTCTACAGAACTACAAGACAAAATAACACAAATTGAGGACGACTGTGGTTGGTGATAGTTGGCAAACCGAAGATCTTGCAAATGACCAAATCAGTGATCCAGAGTTGGGCTTGGTGATTAACTGGAAAAACGCGGACCAGAGACCAACGTGGGAGGAAGTTTGCAGATATTCGCCGAACGTGAAGTCGTACTGGTCCCAGTGGAATTCATTGGTAATAGATAACGGGTTACTTCGCCGTGTGATTGTGAGACCAGAGGGACAAGAAGAGAGAAGGCAGATCGTCATTCCAAAGAAGAGGGTCCCGGAAGTCTTGGCGGAAGTTCACAATGGAACCAGCGGATTAAATGGACAAAGAAGACTCACCAGGTATAGTCTGTAAAACGAATAACTTTGAATTTGACAGTTCCCGCCGGCTTTTCTAGTGCCTGGTGTAGAAATGTTAGCACACTTGCGCCATGCTGATGCAATGCCGTCTCTAATAGAACAGCCTCGAAAGATTTATGACGTCAGTACTAGTTAGATACTACGGATTAATAAATAGCGATCGACGTGGCTGGTCCTTTCCCGGAGACGAACGATGGCAACAAATACATTGTGGTAGTAATGGATTACTTCAGCAAATGGGTCGAGGCCTACGCGTTGCCAAATCGTATTTTTGGTTTGTATTTTAAAAATGATATAGTTTACATGAAATATACATAATATACAGTTAATAAATACAATATATTATTAAATATTATAGTAATAAATATAGTATATATATATTTATTAAATAGATAAACTATGAACCATACAAATGCAGCAAATGTTTTACAATATGGCTGAAATCGTACTCCATAGTCAATGTAGATAGTTTTTTTGTTAAGAATAATAATTTAAAAAAATATGTGGTCATCTTTTGACAAGTTTATATTTGTTTATTAATTGCAGTAAACATTATAATATATAAATAAATTTTGTGAATGCAAATAATAATACATCACTATTAGTAGATATTGAATGTTTTTTGTTAAATTAGATCGATTTTCAAACCCCAAAATTTAAAATATATTTTACATTTTACCCATTATCTTATGTACCACCCTCGGTACCACCTATTCATTATTTGTATATTGTAAAACATTTGCTGCATTTATATGGTTCATACTTTATTTGCCAAAGTATTTATTAACTGTATATTATGTATATTTCATGTAAACTATATTATTTTTAAAATACAAACCAAAAATACGAGGAATAATTATGTTTTCCATGTATTCTACAACATATTTATTAATCCGTAGTATCTAACTAGCGTGACGTCATAAGTCTCGCTCCGAGGCTGTTCTATTAGAGACGGCATTGGCCTAATATTTAGAAATGTCAAAAGCTGATGACATTTTTCTTTTGTCAATTATGACATTTCGTGTTGATTTTTGCAAGAAGAGGAAGAACTGTCATTTTTTTATTATTTTCCTTTTCTATTTCACGAAAATAAAAAGAGTTACCTATCTGATTCGTTCAGACACTCAATTTAAAGAATATCAGTAACTTTTTTTTGATAGAGAGATTTTATATTTGCCATGTTGGTAAAAAATAACGGTCAAAATTCAAAGTTATTCATTTTATAGACTATATACATATATTCGCGATAATTACTATGAGGAATATTTGCTTACACATCTAACATACGCTTTTACAATCACTTGCAAAATGTCAATTAACCAGTAAATCAACACGATTGCATCTCTGACCTACATTTTATAATTACTTACAAAAACTATTTCTCTACTGTTAGTTACCTTATTAGATAATTGATCTCCACTTATATGTTCGGTAATAGATCTTTTAATAAGTAGATCGTAAAACCAAATACCCTTTTAGTTAAAAGGAAAAAATATATTTGCTTCTCATCAAGTGTTGATGGTTTGTTTAGCAATTAAGATAAGAAATGTTCCGGATAGATTTTTATAGCCCATTCTAATGCTGTATTTAATTGATTATTTTGAAATATACTTACTTTCAGTGGTTTTATTGATATTTGACAACTTGCTGATAAGTTTAAAATAAAAAAGTTTTATTATACAGTATGGCTTAAATACTTTAATTAAAAGGGTTAGCAGTACCTATATCAACAAAGTTCTTCCTCTCTCTTCTAACTATATAAGATTAAAACTGTTTTTAGGTTTGGAATTTAGACATCTAAAGCTGATGGGATTGATGGATGAGACCATGTTCACATTTTGCATTCTGAAAAGGAAACAGCAAGATACATTTTATGGCAGTGGGACAGCCTAGCAAATGTGCGATTCTTTCTGGCCATGGTATGATATGCCATTAACAAAAAATTATATGAAGGGTTCAGCTTTCAAGTTGTTAGAAATTTTTAAATAGATCATATAAAGTTCGCACTCAAAAATATAATATAACTCTAGAACTTCAAATAATCTACATTAGGAAACGTCTTAACAGAAACAAGACCAGAAATATAAAAACCATAAAAAGAGTACATCTACCAACCTAACCTAACCAGACCAGGTACCTTGTGATTGCGGTGAATCGTATATTGGAGAGACAAAACGTCCTCTAAATATGAGACTTAACGAACTTAAAACAACATATGTAAAGAGATGAAATGTGTCATCCAAACAGCAGAACTTAACATGGTCGAAAGCCAGGGTTGTCCATAAGAATCCTCATTGGAAGAGCGTAAGTTTAAAGATGCCGTTCTTATATCAAACGAATGAAGTTCTGACCAAACGTTATGATCAAACAATATTAACATCTTTAGCAGTCCAAGTATGAAAATTCCCATTCAATTAT